AAGAGAACAGAATGATCTTCTGTTTCCGGAGTGTGATATTTGACTTTACTTATTACTCACAAAAAATTAATTATCTTGTCGGCTAATAGAAACACGAAAGTGTTTCACGCTTCTCATTAGTGTTAGCAATTTGTTAAATAATTGCTACTGAATGCGCTACTTCTTAAAACTGTAAATGCAGTATACTTGAAACTTACATGTTCAAGACATAGCAGGAGCTCTACATATATGCTCGCTCAGATGAAGAATAACAATTTTCAAGCTTAGACGAAAACACATTAATAGAAATTTAAATTTTAGTATATTTTTAATTAGAAATTTTAAATCACAATAGACTTTTTATTGAAATTAAAATTTTAGTATATTTTAAATCGAAATTTAATTAAGAATTTTAAATTATAATAAATTTCTTTTATAGAAGTCTAAATTGTAGTATATTTTTCATAGAAACTTAATCAGAAATTTTTAATTATACAGATTTTTAATTTAGATTAATTGATTTTAAATGGACATATAGAATATTTTTTGAAAATTTGAACGAAAAGTATTTTGTTTTCTTAATAATAAACACAGAAATATTTTCAACAAAAACTGAAATGTTGTTAAACTTCTCAAACTTTCTTAAATGTACTGACTTTCAAACGATCGTGCGTAATGCATGAAAAATGCAGTCTACTAATAAATTATTATAAAATAATTAATTTTAAACAATTTAATTATTTATTACGTGAATAAATTATTTCGTTCTAGAACTTTGGTCGGATACTCTAGAGTGGTATTCGATCAGTTTACTACCCATTAAACTTTGAGTCTACTAATTAATTATTACGAAATGATTGATTTTTGACTATTTGACTATTTGACGCTAAATATAAAAACTATTTATTACGCTAGGTAAATATATTTCATTGTTCTCATAGGTCTTAAACTCTCGTCAAATACCGTCGAATGGTATTAGATCGGTTTATTATGGATTAACAGCAAAGATAATCTTATCTATTACGGGAAACAATGTTCCATGATTCAAGATCAAGTTTACTACTTTATTTTAGTATTCTACGTATATATGTATATATATATATATATATATATATATATATATATATATAGCAATTACTCTTCAAGAGTTACGTGTTCCCAGGGTAAAATATCTAATAATACACCAATTATAGTGTCACTCCGCATGAAGCAATGTTATTAAAAGACGTGAAACGTTTGATTAACGCACACTATCGTACTCGCGCCGAATCATTCAGTTTTGATTAGCATATAATGTGGCAAGTTAATCTCGTTAGGGAAGTTGATATATGAACGAATTAAATCATTTTCAAGTGGAGAATCAGCGGAGGCGTTACTTGTTACGTCTATAAATGCAAATCGACTGCGCGATCAAACCATAATACTAAACGATTCATCCTGTATTACAATCATTCCTATATCTGAATCTGATCGAGGATGATCAGGTTTCCAATCTAAATGGTGTCATTGTTTTTACATAGAAAAATAATTCTCGTTAGAAATGCTTACTTCTTGATAATGTAACCGGACAATATATTTAATTGATATTAATTAGCAATCAGTTTCATCGTTATAACACATTTGTTAAAAAATTTTCATCTTTTTAGAGCAGTTTAA